ACCAAATCAGCGTGTAAGCATGTATTTTACTCCCAAGAAACCCCTTCGAATTCAGGGGAATACCCAAACAAGTAAACATTACCCGGAAATATCTGAAAGCTGATAAAGAACTGAAAATCCACATTGAAAAGATTCACTTTGAAAGTTTTGTCTAAGTGAAAATTTTTCTCTGCCAACGTCCTGAACATTATTTCTTCGCCAGAGCCAAATCGCAGGTATCGCCCACTGATTATCACCCCAGTCCAGTGCATTTATTGACATTAGTAGGCCCTCGATCCATGGAGGAGGTAATGAACATCGAAACTTGAAAACATCCCGTGTCGAATGTTACTCTGAAAATCTAGCGACCTTGTCTTCCAAATTACCAGGTTTAACCTATTCGTTTTACATGTAGCCAGCCGACTCCATAACACAAAATTCCTTTTCTCCAGTGAAAAACTTGCCCATGCCAGGCATAAATAAGCTCAAAACTGCACAATACACGCAATGAGGGCGGATTAATCTTAGCCCAGTGGTGCGACCTTACTAAAAAACATACTGTGCACCGAAGTTCGCACTATCTAGCAATTTGATTGGCTAAATATTTTGAAACAAAAGCTGTGCGAATCGGTGCGAACGTGCTACTAATCATACTGTGCACCGAAATACCCTAATCTAACTACATTGGTACCCTGTTGTTTTTTAGTCAGGATGCTTTGAGATTTGAATCAGATTGAATCAAGATCGAGATAGAATTAGAGATTGTGTTTAAGATTTTGCTTCTGTTTATGGCCAGATTTAAATCATGCATGATTCAGACCTTGGATCTACCTGCTCCTGCACGGTGTTCAGTTGTCAAATATAACTGAAGCATAATTCCCGAGTAAATAGAATCAAAACACAAATGAGAAATTTGCCAATAAGCGAAAAAGTTGTTGTTCAGCAAAAACCTCTCTCGAGACAGATTCTTAGTATAATTTTAAAAGTTTGACTGTCGCATGTGCGAACGGTGCGAACGTCTAAATCCGCCCCTGGAACTAAGTATGGAAATGTCAGAAATCACATTTTATTTGAGTCTTCCAGCTATGGAGGGCGTCTTACAAGAACAACTTATTAAACCTCTGCTTTGAGAAGACTTAGAAGGAAAATATTATTTTGCTAGAAGTGCCGTTTGCGATCTGCGCCAAGGTTTTCGGTACGGGAAGTCCACCAAAAAAGATATGCGTTTGGTGAATACGACCACTTGGAACAGGATCTTAGAAATGAGAAAATGTTTCTCTTATTTCACAATTAATTTTTTTTGAGTAAGAAAACTGTTTTCAACATTTAAAGTAATACTCAGTGCAAGTGCGTTGAGTAAGAAACGCAGTGCAAATGGTAGCACATTCCCCTCCCACGCATCGGCTTCTTTTAATATTTCGCCGGTAAAATTAGAACTCTTTTCGAAATCAAAAATCAAAACTGGAGAGCGTTGTACATAACGAAACTAGAGTGCACAAAAAGAAATAATCAGTGACAGCAGAACAGCAAATACTCGTTGACGAGAAAAAATCTTCAAAGTGCAATATTGACGGAATTCAAGATTATGGTTGTTCTGAGAATGCATAAAACCTAGAAAAAGACATTCAAGCAATTTTACTTGTACAGAATTGCTCCTAAAACTTTGGTATTTGAAATGACGTTTTATTTGCAAAACGTCACTATTGTTTTGTCTTTGTTCATTATTTTTGATCTCCGCGCTTGAGGGTGTTTCTTACTTTCTACATAGGCTTACCTTGTCTGTCGGGATACCAATTGCCATGTTCGCATCTGCTGGCAGACTTTGTTTCCAAGCACAATTTGAAAAGTCCGTAGCTCCAGGTTTGCATGCCAATACTAAATGTCAACCATTTCACTGTTGCTAATGCTGCAATCTGCAAGACGGCAGTAATTGAAAGAAGAACAAGACCAATAATTTCAAGCAAAATCATTATTCTAATGAATTCTAAGGATCGGCAGCGCTGTTACCTCTACGGATGCTTCAAAATTGTGAGTTGATGGAGAGATGTCCGAAATTTATGACGCATCACAACGGTGCAAAGCCCAAATATGGTCAACGGATTTCATACGAAATTCTTTTGTACCCAGAACAGGCGAGGGGCAAATCACTCTAAGAAAATCTCGTACACCTTTTGTGAAAACCCTTTTCTTTTATCTGAAAATCTCCAGAAATCCTTTTGTTTTAGACAAAATCTCGTACGCTATTTGCAAGAGTGAATGGCCCTTCGAGAACAGGGGGGCTGACATGACTTCCGCAAGGAAAGTTTTCTCAGAAGCATGTTTTGAAATCTCGATGGGCCTCAGTGAACTCTTCCCATTTTCCAGAAAACTGACGTTTGAAGAAAATGTTGCGTCTGGCTTGCTCTTTTCTTGTGTGAATAGAAACTGGGAACAGAAGCGGCGCTATTGCAGTTTCGCGCCTCTCAGTAACCTTACATTATATACATTAATACTATATATCAAACGATAGCTCTTGATAAGACCATTAATATGGTTTATAGTTTGTTATAATTTACCTTCACGGGGGGCTATATTCAATTAAAAATCCTCTTATGTTTCTCAGCTCAGCGGTTCCCCGTCACTGAAACAACAACAGCACCATCCTCAGCAATATGACACATCAATGAGTGGTGTCGCCGAACTTTCTTCCAAACGCGGCATTCCAGGGGGTAACTTCCACGTCGTTGCATCGAAAATTTGATTGGTGCCAGATGCGGAAAAGGGGGGCGCTGTAGGTGTTTCAACTAAGAAAGGCTTGCAAAACATGAATAACATTTCCAAAAGATCAAAGCGAAATTGCATTACATTACACGCTTTTTATAAGAAGGCTTCCTGTTTCTTATGTTGTTCTTATATTTTGGGCGAATCTCAGCGAATCTTAGTATTTTTCTGAGGCTTTGCGTCCCTTCTTTACTATCACCGTTACTCTTTACAGCTGACAGCATTCATGAAAATAATTCTTATAGCTAGTTATTAAATGTATAAGCATTGTTAGATATATCACCAGTGGCGTTTCTACGGGGGGAGGGGGACATGGCCCCCAGAAATTTTCTTTGCCCCTTGTTTGCCTCCTCCCAGTTTTTTAAAAAAGTTTCTATTGAAACTTCAAGATTTCTTCCATAGCAGTTCAATCGTTTTTTGACTTTGTTAGAGATCTTTCTTTATTTTGCTCAATGCGATTGTTGGACTAGTATACCCCCTGCCTATGTAAATAGTCCGTCTTTACATATTCTTATTTACTCGTGTTCTGTTATTCATTTATTCGGTTACAGTTCTCTAATAAAGTCGCCAAGTAAGAAGTCTCTCTTTTCAGCAATCTTTAGGCAACATTACTGTAACCGAATTAACATGGATGCATCGAAAAGCAGTATTTTGTGTTTCACAGGAAACGGCGATGTTCAAGCCTTTTTAACCAAGGTAGAAATACATGTCGCACTGAAAGGGTACGCAGGAGAAAAGCTGGCTCAAGCGTTGGCAAGTAAACTAGAAGGGCCAGCGTTCGATGTTTACCTACGACTTTCAGCAGATGATAGAAAGGATCCAGAAAAATTAAAAGCTGAACTTAAAAAGGAATTTGAGAAGGGAAAACGAAACCGCGAAGAAGCACTGAGTGAATTGGCGAATAGGCCAAGAAAGGTAGGAGAATCTATGCAAAATTATGCATATAATTTGCTGGAATTAGTCAAATTGGCATACCCTTCATTTGACAACAAAACTTTGGAGGCTATTGCTAAAGACTATTTTGTTAAAGGGCTGCACCCAGATATGCAAGTTGCTTTGAAATCCTTTGAAAAGTTTGATAAAGCGGAAATCAGAACCATCGCAGACGAAACAACGCGCTTAGAATTGGCAGGAATTCGTTCATTGTTGTCTGATGCTTCAAGCAACAAAGGAATCTTTGGTGCAGCTAATCCCTATGAGGAAAATTCAATTGTTGGTTCAATCGCTGACAAGGTGATAGAGGAATTGCAGGGCATTTCAATAAGCCCTGGCGACGGGGGACCGCGCAACGAAGTTAATTTTGCTGATAGAAACCGCGGCCGCGGTTTTAGGGCCCGTAATTTCAGAGCCCCAGGACGTGGCCGCTCAGTTTCTTCAAATGGGAAAATGGAACCACGCCAAATGCGATGCAGAACATGCCAAAGCAAAGAACATTTGTTCCGAAAATGCCCAACAAGATTTTGCCAGGCCTGTGGTGCGCGAGGCCATGATGCTTGGGATAAGAACTGCTCGAATTTCCAATGACTAGACGGCCCCGACATTTTGAATTTAGAGGACAATACCACTGGTGCGTCAACCGTCGTTTTAAAAGCCAAATTGGAAGGAGTTTTTAGCAACGTTTTGCTTGACTCAGGAGCAGCTGTATCAATTATTGACTCGAAAACTCTTGAAAATTTGAAACTCGCAGTAAAAATAAATGCTTCAAGTGAAACACTTACAGATGCCTCAGGTAATAACATGAAAATAACCGGTTTTGTAACTCTAAACGTGAATATTTTTGGCCTAACGAAGCTAGTTCTACAGAAGTTCCAAATTGTCGATTCTCATTCGCCAGTCACCATATTTTTAGGCAGAGACTTTTTGCAGAAATTTGGTCAAGTGACATTTGATTTTGCAAATAACGGTGTAAGGCTTGGCCCAGCCTGGATTAGGGGAGCTGAGATAAAAATACCCATACGTGTTCGGCAGGGGCGGCGTTGGGGGGTAATCAAGGTAATCGCTGATTACCTATTTCTTCAAGAATTTTAGAGCTATTTTGTTTCTCGCAAAGTCATACAAAACATGACGTTTTCGAAGTTTTAAACAGTTGTTGCGTCATAACAACGAGGTGGAGCCCTCTTATTGTGCTCTATGACATATATTGACTCATTGCCCTCTTGCTTTCTTTACCATGGTTTCACAGACAGTCGATAATTAGCTGAGAATCTTTCTGCAAACATCGCTTTTGTTTAATATGATAGCTATTGAATTTGAGGATTAGCATGGCCGTGCCTACACAACACGAGGCCGCGAAGGTAATCATGACCCTTCCTGATTACCACACATTTGTCTTCGTGGGCGTCGTGACGTAATTCTTTATTGAACAAACGGCCTTAAAAGGGAGAGCGCCTCGCAGCAACATAGTCATTCCGCAACCCGATTACCTTAGCACTGTTGCTCTTGAAAAATTAAATTTTTTGTCATGGATCGAGTTTTGAGTAACGATATTAGATGGGGTGTTTCGAAAATTTTTTCACTACGTGCAGCACAAAGTAACAATTTGAGTCACGAACAACGATTGCGCCTAAAGAAAGATGGAAGGCCGTGTCCAAGAATAAAGTATGCGGGGAGAACGAGTGCTTCGGTGTATGAATCTTTTTCATGGATATGTGGCGGAGAAAATGAAGAAGGCAAGGAGACATTTTATTGCTGGCCCTGTCTAGTGATGGGTGACATATCAACGGTAAGCGTATATTTTACTAAATTTTGTTTAAATAATTTCATATGACCAGATTCATATTTTACTGTCAAAAAATAATATGAGGTTCAATAAGTAAATTGAAGTAAATCAAATAAAATCGTATGCGAATCATTAATTAGGCTGGAGCTCTATAAACATATCTGGGTTGGTTTTCAAATTACATCGTACCAAAATTACGATCCAAGGTCATTTGACATCCACATAACAAGACCTCTCAGACCAAGGTAGTCAAATCAGCCAGCGATTACCTTGCCCTTTTGGAGGCTAGGAGTATAAAGGCCGTGAAGGCCACGGAGGCCGTAGAGGATAAACACGAGACTGTTTGAATCCCACATGAATAAGAGCCGCAAGCCTACGGCCTAATATCGAGAGTAAACCGCTTATAAGAAACTGAACCCTGATATTGCAAAAAAAAATAAGAAACTCAAGTTCTAGAAAATATGACTTAGGAAGCTAAAGGGAAACATCTTGCTGTATATTCACTTCATTTTTTTGCCTGTATTCTCGATTTACTTGTTACTGTCTTAAACTCTTAATTCTCAGTTTCTTAAAAAAATAATTTAAATTCTAGCTTTAGTTATGGGTGTACATAAAAGATATGGTGAATGGCTTGCTAAATCCAGTATTATAATAATGGAAGAAATTTAATCAATTTTCCCTTCATTTCGTGCTTTGTTTGAATTATAAATATCTTCGAGATTAAAAGCATTTTGAAACATGAATATACATCCTGTAAAGAGCACATTTTAGAAGAATTTTGTGCCTATACTTGGAAATATCTGGTTTGAAATATTTGTAATTTTGGTTCTATACATCTAACGTTGAATTTTATCTAATTCAACAGATGAAAGGTTCATTTGTGCAAGTGAACGGTTTCAAATCGACTGGACGAAACCTTGTAAATGTTGCTGGCAGCCATCAATCATCAAAAAAGCATATGATGAACCACACGTCATACAAGTTGCTTGGGAACGTTGATGTCGCTTGTGCTATAGATGAGGCCAGGCAAAGAGAAGTGACAAGACACAACAACAACGCATCACGGTATACAAAGATGCTGCACCACCACATTGATATTTCTGTGCTGTTGTCTGGCCAAGGGCTCGCATTTCGTGCTCACGACGAGTCCAAACGGTCATCGAACCGGGGCAATTTCCTGGAGCTTATGGACCTCCTAGCATGCTATAGCCACGAACTGCGCTCCTTTTTAGACAAAGAACACGTGACGTACACATCCCATGATCCGCAAAATGACCTCATCGATTGCATCGCTGAAGAAGTACGCAGTGAGATTCAAAATCGAATCCACACTTCGAATTTTATTGCAATCATGATGGATGATACTAGTGATATCAGCAATGTCGAGCAGTCAGCAGTTTCTGTCAGGCTCATTCACCAAGGAGAAGTGGAGGAGCATTTATTGGGACTTATCGACGTGAGTGACGACCAATCAGCAGATGGCCTAACCACAGCCCTTCTAAATACCCTCGCAAAATACAAAATCGTCCCAGATGCTTTCTGTGAGAAGGTTGTCGGCCAATCTTACGATGGAGCTGCGACGATGAGCGGTGAGCTAAATGGTGTTCAGGCGCAGATGCAAAGAAGATTTCCTGTAGCCTACTACAATCATTGTGTCGCTCACAGGATGTCATTGAGTGCCTCTCAATCCGCTACTAAAATTCCAAAAGTAGCCAAATTCTTCGCCACGATTGACAGAATGATTAATTTCTTTCGTAGCAGTCCAAAACGCAGTAGACATCTGGGACATAGCCTTCCAAGACCTGGAGACACTCGCTGGCTATCGCGTGACACAGCAATTGGCGTTATAGATTCATTTTATGAGGATATCGGTGCTGCATTATACGAGTTTTCAAATGCTTCCAACGAAAAGGCAGAGACTCAGACAAAAGCTCGTGGAATAGGGACACAGATGCAGCAAGTCGAGTTTGTGTTTTTGCTCAAGACGTACAGGAAGATATTCGAGCACTGTACTCCCATAATAGTCACAATGCAGAAAACGACCCTGGATGCCATACAGCTGACCTCAATGATAAATTATTTTAAAGGAGTCTTGGCAAATTTCAATTTTGATGGAGTTTGGGAAGATACTCTACTTACTGATCCTGAGCTTCCTACCGTTCGCAATAGGGGAGGATGGAGAGCAATGGAGCAAGGAAATGATGGATCACAGGAGAGCTGGAGGTCAACTCTTACAAAACTCGGCAAAGAAATTGTTGCAACGTTTACGGAGCAACTCGATTGGCGATTTGCAAACCTCTCAAAATTCCAATGGATGAATTTAGTGCATCCAAGCAAATTTAATGAGAGAAAAGAAGCAACTGTGCGGGAGCAAAGACTGCTGATCGAGGAGCTTCGGAAACATTACCCATTTGCCGTGGATGATACGACAGCTACAGAATATAATCTGAACGTATTGTACAACAATAACGAGATTGCTATTTTGCTGAAAAAGTTGGTACGCGAGCGTGATGCTTTGGCGGCGCAAAAGCAAGCTCGACGAAGAAAACGTGCTCGAAAAGAGGTGGAAGTTGGTGCAGATGCCGCAAGTGACACAGAAGATGTAGAAGAGCGAGATCTGTTCGAAGTTGAAGAAGGCGGCAACCTGGAGATTGAATTGGTAAAGGAAGGCATGCCAACGATTCAAGATCTTCTTTTTGTAATCAAGAGTGCTGACCTTTCTGACGCCCTTCCACAAGTGGTAAAGTTGCTGGAGCTTGCCGTAACAATACCACTTACGAGTGTTCACTGTGAGAGAGTTTTCAGCAGAATGAAGCGTGTGGTTTCCGCTTTAAGATCGAAGATGCTCCAAACCAGAAAGGAAAATCTAGTTTTTCTTCAAGTGGAAAATCGATTGCTGAAGTTGCTTGCAGCTAGACCTTCTTTTAAAGACAACGTTGTCAGCCGTTTTAAAACAATCAACCGACGTCGCTTTGAAAGATTTTCAAGGAAATAAGATTGGCTGTTTCAAGTTGTAGACCTGCATTAAAAAAGTCAGCCTGTAACAAAAAATCTTTACATTTTGATATGCATGTAGTTTCAAAATAAAGGTATAAATCACCAGAGAGATTATGCGTACTTAAAAGCTAAAAGCCTACTGTTCAATTCAAAAGACTATAGCAAATTTCATAACTATAAATGTGAAAATACAGCCAGTAAATATTGGCATTGTGATGTGACCATAGGCTTCATCACAAATGTTTGGTGATTTCTTTTTGTGTGCACAAGATTTGTAGCTCATAATGATCAGGACAGAATATCAGGGTGAAAAATGTGCATTTTTTTTGTGAATACTAACTAATAGATAAAGATTTTTAATTTCTGCAAAGTGAAGTTATTATAGTTTTTTAATCTGGTTTTTTAAATATATTTGAGTTAGGTATTTGATTCTCAATTTGCTTTCAATTCTATTTGAACTTTCTTGTATCATGTTCTAGTATATATTCACACTAATGTTATTGGCTTTAATATCATAGAAAATGCTTAAACGCTTGCATACTTTGTTATGAGTGTTACTTCAGAAATACTACTTCAGAAGGAAGGGTGTGGGTATGTTTATATCATAGGCAAAATATGGGCGTTTCCCTTTTGAAAAAGGGCGTAGTTAGAAAGTTGATTACCTACTTATTTTCACTCCGAGCCGCCCCTGGTGTTCGGGTAGCTGAAAAAACCACCATTCCTGGTCGTTCCGAAAAATTTATCCAGGTCAAATGTGATACCAAAACGGCATTTTTAGAAGGAGATTTTGACCCCGCAACAATAGCAGGGATGATGGGTATCTACGCATCAAGAACACGGGTGTTTCCAAATTCTGTGGGTGTTTTCACGATCAGCCTGTTGAATGTTTCTGCTGAAGATCTGATTTTAACTGCACGCAAACCAGTGGGAACATTAGGTCTGGTTAAAACGTCGCATTTCTCATGTGCCGAACCTAACTCGAGAATTAAGTACATGAGGGGCGCGACGTTTGAATCAATTTGGTACGGCAGATTTAGTTAGGAGCGGCAGACTAGTTTGGATCGGCAGAGCTTGCTGAGCTGCACGGCTCCAGCACGGCACGGTTTCAAGCGTCGAACTTGTCATGTACCGAACTCAATGCATAATTATATTTAATTCATTTTCCTTCCCAGAATTCATTTCTTTCTTGGAGGGCGCATGCGTTTGAAACAAATATTTGTGATTGCGCGCCTTAACCAAGATACTTCATGTAACAATCCTAAAACCCATTTGGCGCGACATGATTAAGTTCGACGTTTGAAACGGGAGTCGCGCTAAACATGCTCAAGTGTCGCTCCAAACAGAGTTAGATTCGGCACATGAGAAGTGCGACATTTGAACCAGGCCTTACACGCTGCCGCAACGGGAAGTATCACACAAGGCCCAGTAAAAGATAATCCCTCGTTAAAGACTACATTAATATCCTTGACTTCTGACTACAAAGACATATTTGCGCAGAATCCAAAAAAGCCTCAGAGGAACAAAATCTTAGAGCATAAAATTGTACGGAAATGTGCCGCACACAAATCGCTAAACTCTAAGATTCGCCATCTTGTCTCGTGCTCTCGAAGATCTAACTCAAAATAACTGAAACTCGGTCCCAGTTCTCTACTGTCCTAAACTGTCCTAAAATGTCCACTACTAATCAACATAACGAATGATAATAATAAAGTACCGTACACAAACTCCCCTAAAATTTGAGTAAAGTAACATACCCGAGTCAAATTTTATCAAACCTTTACGGTACGCAGTTGTCCTCTTCAATCTTCTTCCAAACAAAGTCTCGTCTTCACTTCTGCATCCACCGCAGCTCTTCTCTTCTCTCTTGTTGTCACATTGGCCTTGGCATCGATTGCTCCGTTGATTGTTTCAACTGTTATCACATTGACTTTGTCATCAGTTGCTCCTTTGATTGTTTCCACTGTCTGTGACTCCTTCGCTTGACAACTAATCTCCAATGGGTAGATAGCTTGAACCGGTCGCTTTATGAGATGTCCTTTGTGTCTCAAAAGCACTCCCCTGACTACGTCGTCTCTTCCTTTCACAAGCTCTTCTACTCTCGCTTTCTTCCACTGCCCTTTATTTCTTTCATCACCAACAACTAGTACTACTTCTCCGATCCGTGGCAGACCTGCACTCTTCTTTCTGTTAATACGATGCACTTCCATTAAACTGTTGATATACTCTTTGTTCCAACGTGACCACACGTGCTCTTTCGCATTCTTCAATCTCTTATACATCTTGGTCACTCTTTCTTCGTCTACCTCCACATCTTCAAATGTATGTGAATCCTTCCCCCACATGATTATGTTAAGTGTTAGCACTTGCTCCTCCCCACTTTCACTTTCTACATATGTCAATGGCCTGTTATTCAAACGCCTCTCTATGTCCATGATGACTGCTTCCAGTTGTTCAAATTGCAAATGCGTTTTTCCAAGGGCTTTTTTACAATGTCTTCTTTAAATCCTTAATTAATCTTTCATACATCGCCCCCCACAAGGGACTTTTCGACAAGTTGAACCTCCAAGTGATGCCTAGAGTTGCCAAATGGTCTTGCAATTTTTCACTTTTTCGTATCAATTTTATCCACTCAGCTGTTGTCTTGAAAACACTTGCGTTGTCAGAGACTATGACCTCTGGTCTCATTTTCCTTGTAATGAACGCATTTAACTTCCTCTGAAAATCTTCAGCAGTTTGTGACCTTGTTACCTCTAAATGAACTGCTCTCATCACAGCACAAGTGAAAATAATCACGTAAACTTTGATCTCTTCTTTGCTTGTACTCCCCCTGCACTTGAGAGGCCCGGCAAAGTCAACACCTGTGTTCTGGAATGGCAGGCTCTGAACTGTACGAAACATTGGGAGCGCAGCTGTTGCTGGTGCTTCAAATGGTTTTGCAGAAAATACTTTGCACACATTGCAATTCCTGATTTCTCTCTTGACCAATGTTCTCATCTTTGGTATCCACCATGTCTCTCTCAGTGCTCCCATTGTATTTGCTACTCCCATATGCATAACTTTCCTGTGTGTGTGTCGAATCAGTTTCTCAGTAAAGAGACTCTTCTCCAAATAGATTGGTTGATACCCTTGAATCCTTCCCTGGCATCGAAGCATACCTGTTTTCTCGTCTCTTATCAATTTCCATCCAGGTGTTTCTTTCATCTCTATAATGTATCTTTATTCTCTTACTACCCAATGATCTCTTGCACTCATAATTTCCTCTGTGGTCAGAGGTCCTCTTGTTACCTTCTCCTTTCTCTTCTTGGCAAGACAATTTTTGATAAATCTCAAACACCATGATGTGGTTCTAAGTGTTCTCCAATAGCTTTGACGCTCTAAAAGCTTATCCCATTCATCACTCTCTGTCTCGTTTGTGAATAAGATTGCCTCTTTAATTGGTCTTTGTTCTTCCAAGTTTCTTTTTGAACTCTTCAGCACTGGTTGTTCTGGCCATTCTTCTTCATTTAGCAGCCAGTCTGGCCCTTCAAACCACTTCTTTTCTACCATTTTCTCTATGTTCGCACCCCGACTGCCTAGGTCTGCTAAATTTTCACTTGATGGGCGGTATTTCCACTCTATTCCAATTTCATTCCCTATCTCTGTAATCTTTCTCACCCTGTTCGCTACAAATGCTTTCCATTGTTTCCCTGGATTGTTTATCCAAAATAAGGCCACCATACTATCCATCCACACATTGATTGATGTTATTGGCCAATTCTTCAATGCTTTGCAAATGTTCTTGGCCATGTTTGCTGCCATTTGCCCCCCAACCAACTCAAGTCTGGCTATCGAAGTGTTTCTCTTTGAAATTCTTGACTTTGAAGTGAGTAAGCCTTTTACTTTGCTTGATCCTTGTTCCACTACTGCAATTGTCACAGCACAGCATGCCTTTTCACTTGCATCTGCAAATATGTGTAAATTCACTGCATCAACTGCTCTTATTTCTCTTACTAAAGTTCTTGGTATCTTTAATTCTCTCAGCTGTCTCATCCATCTCAAATAATCTTTCATAAGGGGTTCAGAAACTTCAGCATCCCCTCCCCTGTTCTCATCACAGGCCTCCCTGAAGATTCTCTTTCCTTCTACTAGGGTTGGTGAAATGATTCCCAAGGGGTCATAAATTCTGGCTAATTGACTCAATACAGTGTTCTTTGAGACCTTATCCTCTTCCCCTTTGTTTATGGGTACCATCAAAGTATCTTCTTCCTTGTTCCAAACATGCCCCAAAATCTTGCTTGGATTCTCCATATTTTCACTTTCTAGGCTTTCTATGTTGGATTCCCATTTATGAATTTGAAACTTTGCGTCCTCTAGTATTTCAGATGCCTCTCCTTTAAATCTTTGAAGCTCTTCAATGCTCATTCCTGTACACATCAGATTGTCTACATATGTATTTTCTCTGAGCATTTCTAGGGTACTGGCTAGCTCTGTGTTAGTAAATTTCTCATAATGGTGCTGCAAGGTTCCCCCCAACATAAATGGGCTGGCTTCCCCCCCAAAAGGGACCCTTAGAAATCTTAGGTGTTCTTCCTTCCCACTCAGTGTGAATAAGAATCTGAATGCATCTCTATCCTCTGATTTAATTCCAATTTGTAAAAATGCCTTTTGTATGTCTCCTAGCAGCAGATATGGTGTCATTCTTGCTCTGACCATAATGTCCCAAATATTTGGCTGCAACGCAGGTCCCTTGTACATGCAATCATTGATGCTGTTTGTTGTTGGCGTTGGGCGTGCACTAGCATCAAATACCATTCTCACCTTTGTGGTAGCAGCGCTCTCTCTTACAACTGGTTTGTGAGGCATGTAAAATATTCTTGTTCTAGACAGGGAATTTTGTAGAAAAAACTAGCAAACTGCCTAACCTCAAATTTTATTTCACATTCTTACTAAATCGACCATGGAGATTCCAAATCCAAGATGGGCCAAAAAAATTATCACCGGAAGTTACTGTTTTTGATGACGTCATCAAAAAAATGATAAAAAATCTTTAAAAATCGGCCAAGGACTCGAACTCAACTTTTTTTGCATTTTTGCACCAAATTAACTATGCAGATTTCAAATCTGAGATGAAACGAAAAATATCTTGAACGCAAGTCAAATTTTGTGATGACGTCATCAACTTGGAGAAAATTCACTTTGAACCTTTTTAATTGTTTTCTTGCAACTATCATTGTCAAATATGTTCCATATTCGAATTGCACAAATTCAGTGCTTTTAAAAGATGTATTGAATTTCTATTATACTTACTTTTAAACGTTCTTTCATGACGTCATCATCATTTTATGACGTCATCGCCTTTAAAAGGTAATTGAATAACGCGTGAAAGGATGCCTAAAAATCTTTAGCTAGTTAAAAAAGTCATTCAAAATTAAAATTTCGTTGTATAGAAAATGATATGGATCCATTCATCCTTCATCACTGTCTCCTTTGCTGGAACTCCAGAAGAAAATGTAGTTCCACTCATCATCGTCTGCTTTAAGCTGATCACCTCACCATAATTTTTCCCATGGCCTAGTCCTCATTGGTTACGGAATTTTCCTCGATTTCATCACTAGAGCGCTGCAGATCTTGCAGATTTTTAGCGGAGGGTGTGCGGGGCCCTGCACAAGATGAACATAATTTGTGTGAAAAAATTTTAGAATTATTTTGCTGACTCCAGTATTTTCTGCAGATATTCACAGCTCTTTTAACGTTGACGATCGGATATTTTTGTCTTCAAGCCGTTAAGAAACGTTTTTCTCTGTTTATCCTCTTCGTGCCATTTCTTATTTATTTATCAAATGTATGTTCAAAATTAGAAGATGTAAAGAAATTTTTTTCCTATAAACCACACTAATACCACCTGTAGGCCAGATCATTCTTTCCATCGTATGTCTAACCAAAGCTTAAACGCAATTTCTCTTACAATCTTTTTTGATAATGTAACCAATAGTAAATGCTCGTGTCAACCAGTATGGATCTGGTTGTAGAGCTTCTGATCATCTGTTTTTCATTGCCTTGCGAATTCTTACTCTTATCTGCACAAGTGTTTCATCACATTTCCCTTTGTATGATTATTTTTGCACAAATTTTATCGCTTTCGTGAGAATGTCTTTGCAGATTTCCTGTCTCATCGTAACTCTCTCGAGCAACCCTGTCTCACCCTTTCCAGAACACTCCTAAAGCTTTTTAAAATGTTAGCTTTCCTTACAACAACATTACCGGTGTTGTTTCGCAGCCAATAACTGCATGAACAGCCGGTAGATTTTTAG